CACAATAGGGAACAAAACATTGTAAAGGTCTCCACAGGGCAATTTCTATAGATGAATAGGTCTCCACAAGGTTTTCACGAAATAGATATATGGGTTTTACTCAAAAACTAGGAATTTCCAAGGTGGGTTGATCTGTCGCAAATGGAAGAGTTTTAGAAAAGGGATATTAAGTCCAAATTTCAGCCAAGGAAACTAATTCTGGTTAAAATAAGAGCATTTTGAAACTTCACTTTCAAAATTGAACACTTTACTACACGAGAACAAAGGAATGTCTCCACAAGGATACAAATTTGAGAATGGGTGTTCCTGGCAGTGGCTGCAATGTGCGCCGCAGCACCTTGTAAACCCTTATAAGGTGCTACATAATGGGTCTCATATTTCTCATGAACTTTATTTACCTTTCCTTAATAATAGACATATCTCCAGTGCCTTGAGTACCTAATAGTTGGTAGATACGTGGTACTGCGCTATATAAGACTCCGATATTATTATTATATACAGCCAGTCCCATTTTACTCAGGTAGGATGACCATTTAAATCATCCAGAAAGTAACCAACCAAGTTATTGTAAAAAAAAAAAACTACTTGGTTTAGAGATGTTAATGGCACTAAAACTCCCTGTGAAATTGTCCTTCTGGCATGCTGTCATTTAAAAAAAAATAATAATAATAAAAAGGCCATTCCAAAGTTTTGTCAAGTGAAGAACTTTTTGAAATTTCGATTGACAGTTACAGTTTGTAAATGGGCAATTCCGTGAATGGTGGATTGCAATTATTAGCGAGAATTGTTGGTTCAGTGTGTGACATCACATAGCTACAATGGGCTGATTGAGAATCATGTCTCAAATGCTGATTTTGGGATTGTGTCATGACTCATCTACTGTTGAATTGAGATCAAGAACCAAAATATTGTGTTTTCTCGAAATATACAGCCTTCATAGAGCTAATGTGTCATTAGGTTAGTTGTTAAACACCCCGTCTTTAGATTTTGAGCACTCTCGACGCTTCAAACGATATAAACGCACTAGTGACTAATGGTCTACTGTATTTTTCTCCCGTGAGGATTGGATTACTCGGGCATCATATTAAACGAGAGTTGCTCAGCAGAATTAAAAGATCTGGATCTGCGGTGGCGGCAACTATCTTAATGTAGGGGGATTTCCCCCAATATTGGACACTTATTGTTATAAAGACACCAAGCAGGTCACACATGGAATGCTCATGGGATGGAAACATTATCATTTGAAGTGGTTTTGGCACCTTTATAGCTCAAAATTTGTATCAAGTTAAAAAAATTTATCTGCAAACAAGTACAATTAAATTGATGATTTGAAAATCTATTGAACTGGATGACATTTGCTATTAAGAAATGTACCAAGAAGTGAAGGGATTGGTGGGTGGCAGTTTAAACAACTAACACTCAGACAACAGATTAAAAGATGAGATTAAAACCTTCAATTATCAAGACCTTAACAATGCTGAAAGTGTTCTTAAATGATGCAACAATCAGATCTGTTCCAAATCCAAACCACAATCACTTTACAGTAATTTTGAAATGAAACAAGTTGGCATTGTGTTTTCTTCTCTTAACTGTTGAATTGGTTGTTTTTTTTCCATTTGTGTGTGTTTAGGCAGGAAGCAGTGATGGTTCCATATGCTTGTACGGCCTGACTCAAGGTAAGGGTCCATTTCACTAAACCTTGTAAGTGTATATATCTGGTGACATAAATTTCACGTACTTCGTCCATACTTAGCTACAACCAGTTTGATTTTCTACATTAATTGCTTCGATATGTCGACCAAGAAAGGGAAAGTCAACGATAAGCAGGCTAAAGACATGCCTGCTCACCTGAGAGCTTCGTCCACAGCCTCGGGATTGTCTGCCTGGTACACTTCGCCTAGGGTTGAACAAGTGCAAATAAGTCACAGGCCCCAGCCTCGCCTTGAGCTGATGTGCCATGTGCAGAAAAAATTGAAAGTGGGCTGCCTTGCTCAATTTCCGTCACCAACAAGGGAGTGTCTTCTCACCACATTTCGAAGAAAATACCGCAAGTATCCAGAGCACCACAGGCTGTACATGTGGTAGAAAATGAGCCCTGACAGACCTCACCAAGGTCAGCAGTCAGCAAGGGCCGTCTTTCTTCCCTGGTCAACAATGGAATTTCCCCTCTACAGCAAGCGATGCAAGCAGGCAGCAGTCATTCAATATGAAGGCGCCCATGGCTCCACCGTATGGGTCATTTCCGTGGTTTCAATCTGCACTGCAGGGGCCTTCTAACGCTACCCAGCAGATGTATCATCAACATTGGGGAAATCAACCCCAAGACAACTCTCACTTCCTCTGCCAGCGAGTCCGATCATTTGGGGCAGTAAATTCTGGCCCTGGTGAGAGCACGAATTTGCACTATCGGAGATTGGCAGCAATGCAGAAACTGAATTGGATTTCCTCAATCCGAGTGGATTTTGTAACTCCATGGCAAGGGATCAGTTTTTCCAGTGACGGATCTTAAGTCTTTTAAAAGACTCTCATAATCGCCTGCTCAAAGCAGTTTTGCATCTGACCAAAAGTCGATTTTGGTTACTTGCTCCCCAAGTCCTTTCATCCCACAAAGTATGAACAAATTCGATTTTTGAGCGTGGACACTTATATGAAGTATTTACACGAAACGACTCTTAAGACTCTCATAATCGCCTGCTCAAAGCAGTTTTGCCTCTGACCCATCTTTTTGATGCTTTGGCGGATTCTTCCTGCCGAGAGACAGTCGACACTCAGTATAGTTAAAGATCATGTCACCTCGGCATTGATAAGCCAGAGTCTGGCTCTGTCAAGACAACATGCCTTTGATGAGCTGCTTGACAAAAGATATTGAAAGCTTCAAATGAAGTTCACCATTGATGAGGTCATCTTTTTTTGTGGAAATTTAGTCAAGGACATAGAGGATGCAGAGAAAGGAAATAAACTGGCAAACAAAGTGACCAAGACTGCAACATCTACTGCAGGGCCATACAAGGGGAATAAGTTTTCTCATTATTCTGCTCTAAACAGAAGATTTTGGGGCAACAAATCTTTTCAAGGGTGATCATCTGGCTATGCTACCGAGCAAAAGTATGCAGCCTATAAATCTGCATCCTCAAGTCATGGTAAATTCAGATTGGAGCAAGGTTTGTTTGATCAGAAAACAAAAAAGTGGATACTACATGTATTCCTTTCAGTTTCAAGACAAGTTGTCCTGAATATTTTGTTTGCAACTGGAAACCCCTTACAAGAGACAGGTGGATACTTCAGTCAGTTGTTTCATAAAATAAAATTTGTAGAAGTTCCATTTCAATTATAGCACAGAATACCTCTAACAGAAATGAATTCTTAATCTCAAGTGGAGATTGTTCAGAAGGAAGTTCAAAAGCTAGTTATTAAAGGGGCAGTCACCGTGGAAGAACCGGTGATTGGACAATTTATTTCATCTTTGTTTTCGGTCCCAAAAAAGTTGGGAGAGCTCCCCCAGTGATAAATCTTCGTTCCTTGAATAAGTTTGTTTAAATACAGTAAAGTCTGGCTAAGTGGGCACTCTCGGGACCCCAGAATTTGTGACGACTTACGCCAATGCCGACATCTGCTGTAAGTCGTCATTTTGCCGACTTATGAATGGCTTTTTGGACACATGATTCATTGCACTAATTGGCTTTGATTTACCCTGGTTTATCTCATTAATGCTTGAGTTGAATCCAGCAAATTAATCCTCGAATTGTATCATGACGTTTGATAGTGGAGACCACGTGTACAAAAAAGTAATACAGATGTACATGCACAGTAGGGAATTAAATGCGTGCGTGGTCTGCGCGCACGCATTGACTGCAGCGCTAGTGCTAGTCATTCAATAAGACGACCCCCAAATGGACAGAGCACATGCGAACAGACGAGAGGGGGTACTGGTATTGATATGCTCACGATGCATATGCAATGTATGCAGTATGACACTCTTTTGAGACACCGGTGCATGCAGCAATCACGTGCGTGCCAAACCACTTTTCACTCGACACTTCTTGCCAACTGCAGTACAGGAAGTCGATGCCTATGCGTGATTTTTTTGAATGCCGACTTACACAAAGGATTTTGTAATGCTTTTTATGGAAAGGGGACCGAGAGTAACATGACGACTTGAGTGAAATGGCGACTTATAAAAAGCCGACTTTGAAATAAAAAATTTAATGGAAATGCGTTACGGACAATCGGGACTTTAGTCAGACGGCGACTTGAGTGATTTAACGAGTTGTACGATGTCGATTTAGCCGGAGTTTACTGTATCAACACTTCAAGATGGAAGGAATACAATTAGTAAAACATTTTACTCATACCAGGAGATTTTTTTAGGTTCCATTGATTTCAAAGATGCTTATTTTATGATTCCTATTTATCAGGGTCATCAGAAGTATCTTTGTTTCATATTTGCATGCCTCCCATTTGGGCTGTCAAGCCAGTGGCATCGCTGCTCCGAGCAAAGGGAATTCGTTGCGTGTTTTATCTAGACGATATAAACTCATACTGGGCAGGTCTGCGGAAGAGTGCACCAAAAATCTCCAGTTCACGGCAACTACACTTCAGGAACTAGAATTCAGTATGAATCAGGAAAAAAATCATAATTCCAACCTAGACAGCAAATCACATACTTCTGGTTTCACATCGCTATTGGTACATAATCTACACATCAACCACCTAGAACTGTTGTTTAGTGGACTATACCCTTGGGGCATTGCTGAACCATCGACGCAATCCGACTACAGAAAGACAACATGACAGTCATGTCATACATCAGCCACAAAGAGGGGACTCATTCTTGGGAACTGTCATCCTTTGTAGAAAAGGTCTGGACATGGTGACTGCACAGACAAATAACATTGTCATAAAGTACCTTGACCGGGATATGTTATGGATGAAAATTGAAGGGACGTGTTGATGACACCATCACATGACGTGAGACTTCACATTAAAAGTGCCTTTTTCTCTACAGACCTGTATGCCTGTTTTGGTCATAACTTGGTGTGTACCTAGATAGGGATTTTTTTTATAAGATTGGAGTGACATTATGATGACGTAATCGATTGTCACATGATGTCGCATTAAATTGGCAATTTTGAAAGTCCTATCTCCAATACACCAAGCCGCATTGGCTTTTGACTTTGCATGTACACAGACAGGGATCTGTTAGGAACATTTTAGTGATGTCATGATCAATTGTCATGGAACATCACATCAGAGGTGCCATTTTATAGGCTTGCTTATTTTAATGCCGTGTTTACAAATCCTTGTCTCATCTTCATGTAGCTTCACACAAGTCCACAAATCAAAACAACCCTGTTTGTAACATGACAAAGGCATATCTAGTCTGTATTTTATCATGTTCAATGGGATTATAAACTGTTGACTTTTTTACTCTTTCCTTACTCCCTTTCCCCTTTTCCTTTTCTTTTTCTCTCCAAGTGCCTTGTGTCATTATAATAATGATTATTATAGCTATAAATAAAGGGTATTTCAATTTAATTTTTATTTATCATGTTTGGACATCACAGAAGCACCATTATTCACTTGGAATAATTCCACCAGCAACATGCCCATTGTGTCCATGATGTGGTCACGCAGTCGGCCTTCTGTTTTCTATGTAGCTGATGTGACATCCAAAGTGTATGTGTGGGAGCTGTTGACTAGTCAGGAAGGGCCAGTGGACATTGAACACTTTACAGATGGCAGGTAATTGTAGTGTGTTTTAATTTTGTCTTAATATCCTAACTCCCAAAGGGGGTATGCAAAATCGTTAATATTTGGAGGATTCAGGACTGTTCGGGCTATCAAGGAATTATTGAAAGTTGGAGGAGTTGCACGTGCATACCCCACGTCCATCCACTTGTCCAAGATTTTGGTAGGTAATTAGTTTTAAGTAAATACCAGTGTTGTAGTCAAGTGCTTTTTTCCGAGTACCAAGTACTGCCTAGTACTTAAGTTACTGAGTACAAGTACTTGGTACTTCCGAGTACAAGTACTTGGTACTTCCGAGTACAAGTACAGGTCTCCGAGTACGAATACTTCCGAGTATGAGTACGAGTACTTGTATTACGAGTACGAGTATGAGTATTTCCTTTTCAGAATACGGCCATATGGCAAATGGTTCATTGTGCGTAACTGGCCCAGGCCCAGTCAGAACTGATATGCAGACCCACTCACGGCTAACTGTTAAATGTGTTTGTAAGGGCATGCACAGGGGAAAATCAGGAAACTTTTATTTCTCCGCAAGCCAATCAACCATTTCAAACTGAAAGTATCAATAAAATAAGGCCATGGTAAGTCAAGCTATTCGAGTACTGCTATTCCAGTAAAAGTAGCTTTGATGATCGAGCACAATTTTGACATGTTGAGTACGAGTTCTTTGCTGCCCGATTACGAGTACTTTGCTGCCCAATACGAGTACCGTCATTTTGAGTATAAATACGAGTACTCTAACACTGAGTCCAGTTGTCAATGAATTTTGTTTGGAAAAGTCTCCATTAAGATTGTGTAATGGTATGTTGATAAAAGGTTGTGAAGGGTACTATTTCAAATCCCAATTAGAGGTTGTAGGAACAACCACACGGTGTTGGGCTAACATGTTTGAGTTGATGGCAAAAAGCAAACCAAAAGTTTGCCAAAAACACTGACAGTCCAGAATGACAGATATTGTCAAAGGCAAGTGTGTAGTGAAAGTGTACCCATGTAGATCAAAAACACAAAATACTTTTTGGGGGGATAGTCTCAGCTCTCTCAGGTGATAAACGAGTACTGTTGAGTATATAAATGTTCAAAATTATATCTCTCCGGGTTGATTTTCCCGGAATTTTCAAAGGAATTAAGTCTTTTTATTTTAACTTCCGGTCTGATGACGTCATCAATTTGTTTTTGTGCACAGGTTTTGTCTGCTTAAAGGTCATCATATGTATTCATTTTGAAGCAATTACCCCAAACTTCGCCACACACATCAACTGAAAATTCATTTTTGACATTTTTTAACCTGCCGCTAGAGGGCGCTCTAACATTTTATGACATCGGTATTTTTTGTAAAGTATAACCTCGCCGGGAACCAGTGTTGTAGTACTTGTACTCGAGTACTACTTGAGTACTTTTTTTGGAGTACTCATACTCGTACTCGTACTCGAATGTCAAAGTACTTGTACTCGAAATGACGGTACTCGTACTCGGGCAGCAAAGTACTCGTACTTGACATGTCGAAATTGTACTCGTTCATCAAAGTACTCGTACTCGAATAGCAGTACTCGGAGGAAAAATGGTATAGCTTGACTTCATATACCACGGCCTTATTTTATGGATACTTTCAGTTTGAAATAGTTGATTGGCTTGAGGAGAAATCGAGTTTCCTGATATTCCTCTGTGCACATCTGGACAAGCACATTTAACAGCTAGCCATGAGTGGGTCTGTATATCGGTCTGACTGGGCCTGGGTTTGGGCCAATTACACACAATGAACCATTTGCCGTATGGTTGTATTTGGAAAAACAAGTACTCCTACTCGTACTCGTACTCAGAAGTACAGCAGGGGTGTGATTTTTCCGGATTTTTCCAGATTTCCGGATTTTTAATCTAACGTCTGCGGACTTTTTTTGCGGACTCCGGATTTTTAACGTTTTATGTTTCCGTAATAATATCGCCCAAAAACCTCCGGCGAAATATAGGCTCTAATTTACGATAATGGATAATGGACTGGTGACAAGTCTAATGCAGTGCGGTCAAGAACCTAATAGACATTAATGCAGTATGCGCAGTGGAGTACTTGAGGACCAGACTAAAAATAATTTTCAATGGGTTTGCAGCACCTCGTGTTTGTATATCGCGTGTGGATGTGTGTGTGTACGTGTATTGTGCATGTATTGTGCAGTGACGATCGTGTGCTAGCAATTCGCAAACACATTGGTGTCAATATTGCCGCGATTTTGTTAAGGAATTCAAGAGTATGGCTGGAAGAACTGGTAATAAAGTGTCACTGTGGATGGAAATCAGTTTGAGCTGCAGTAGTGCTTTGAAAAATAGCCACCACCAACACAAAATTTCTAAAATGTTTTGGAAGCCTAGCTTGGACTGGAGTTTTAAGTAAGATTAAACTTTTCAGCACCGTTCATATTGTTTTGTGTGAATCGTTTCTCTCTGCAACATGCAAAAGTAATAACATCACACACAGAAAAAGCCTTTATGAATCAATCACATATGGATTATATTATTTAATGACCAGACGTTTTTTCTTATTTTTTCCCCCATTGTTTTCTTTACTGAAGTGACAAAATTTGCTAACATTACAGAAATTACAGTACAAAAAATGTACATGCCCGCCCCTAGGCCTATATATGGACATACGTGCATGCATATGTATACATGTACATCTATAAAAGTACATGTACAATAATACATGTACATGTTCATGTTCATGTACATGTACATATACATGTACATGAACATGTACATGTACATGTATATTACATGTCAACCGAAGTTCATGGATTTTTCATTTTTGTCCAATCACACCCCTGGTACAGTACTTGTACTCGTACTCGTACTCGGAAGTACAAGTACTGGTACTCGGAGACCTTTTCTTGTACTCGGAGGTACAAGTACAAGTACTCGTACTCGGCAACCTAAGTACTCGGCAGTACTCGGTTCTCGGAAAAAAGTACTCGACCCACAACACTGCCGGGAACTAACATTATTGAAAGCAAGTTCACATCTTTTTCCACTTTCAAATTATAAGGCACTTCCAGTTTGGAGTGAAAGGAAGGGTCACGTGATTTGGCATGCATGAGATACAATGACGGTCCTGGATTATTCTCACAGTTGATTTTATATTGATTTCAAAAGATTAATCACGTGGTCTCAACATAATATGCATGGCTATGCCACTGTATTGTAAATTTATCAAGTACAATCGTTAAAAACAAGTATTCAAAAAGCTCATATCTCTAAAAGTAAAGGTCACACACCATTGCAATACAAAATATTGCTCGCCATACCATTTCACCCCAATGCGCATGTTTTTAGAGAGGAAAAAAAAACAATTAATAGTCGGGGACTAGAATGCCAAATTTGCTTTAAAAAAGTTTGACCCTACACCATCTCCTCCCCTTAATTTCTTGTTTGTATACGATTTTTGTATTTTGTCTTATTAACAACTGGGATGGTGGAAGAAAAATAAGCCCAGCGAAAGTGTTGTTTTAGGGCAATATTGTTGTAAAAATCCAACGTAAAATATCAGGAAATAAATTGGTCTGGTACCCCTCTCACGAGGCTTGTTTAAAAAAGCTTATTTTTGGGTACCAGTACATCTCTTTAAGGCATGCGGCCAACCTCGTTGCCATGGTCAGCTTGGAGAGCGCACCGCACGTATCACTTCCCAACTGAGTAGCGTAGTGGAGTAAAACGAGTATGGGACAGAGGTTAATTTGTAAAATGGCGTTGAAGCAGAAGCAGAAACAGGCGAATCGCGAGCAGACAGTCAAGAGAATTTTAAATTTTTACTTGTTTTTTTTAGAGTAAGTTGAACCAGTGTTATGTCACATGAATGTTGCCAGAATAAATGAAATTAAATCTTCAAAAAAATATCCTTTGTATGTAAACTGTGTCGAGAATACACAACAGATGAATAAAAATTGATCCGCGTACGGTCTTCTGACCGTGAATCCGTCAATTCTGGTCGGGATTTCCGTAGCAACAATCGGTATGGTTATGCGTGTTAACACAGCATGTGCAGAGCTAGTGTCGCACTTTGAATCATATCATCTTGTGATTGCCGAACTCAACTTTTTGTCTCAAGTGTTAACACAACTTCCTTTGAAGAGTGAAGGACGGCTGAACAACAAACGTGGTAAGAAATTATTTTCACTTTTTACTCAAACATGTCAAAGCCTTCGGTAACTAGCAGGCCTAGATTCTCGAGGTGAGTCTGTAGGACTTACGGGAGTGACAAGCATTTGGGTGAGACTTCTTTTCCACAAATTTAAAATAAAATAAAATAAAACTAGAGGTTGTAGGAACAACCACACGGTGTTGGGCCATGGATTACAGCAAACTTTGCCACACACATCAACTCAAAATATGCATGTTTAAATCCATGTTTGACTTTTTCAACATTCCGCCAGAGGGCGCTCTAACATTTGATGACGTCACCTGTAAAATTTTTGTACAGTACTGCGTAGGCAGACACTCACATCGTTGAAAGCAATTCGCATCTTCTACCAATTTCAAATAAAAGGCACTTCGGTTTCGACAAAAATGAGGGTCACGTGATTTTGCACTTAATACCAAAAATGAAGACCCTGCAATATTGTATCGATTGCCATAAAAAACAAAATCAAATCTGTAGCAGTTGATTTTATATGATTTTCAAAGATTCAATCTAGAAATCTTTGATTGCTTGTAATATGATACTTGATGACGTCATTGTGACGTTATTACCAGAAAGTCAAGAGCTATTTTAACTGTGCTATATATATAGCCAAATCTTGATTATATCTATCACGGTTGATTTTTTAGCAATTTTTGAAGGTTTAAAGGTCTTTTTATTGTAACTTCGATCTGATGACGTAATCAATTTTTTTTTCACGCATAGGTCTTGTCTGCTTTAAGGTCATCATGTACATTATTTTGAAGGGAATACCGCAAACTTCGCCACAGACATCAAGAAAAAATGTGGTTTTTTTCATGTTTTTTAACCTGCC